ACCCTAAATAATATGAATACTTCAAAGAGACGCACTTAAAAATGATATAAAAAGTGGTGAAACCTACTTGAAGCGACTCGCATCAGCCCGGAAGCGACGGATGAACCGATTAAACAAAGGTACGGTGAGACATTTGGAAATAACGGCCGTTAGGGACGCAGTATTTCTTTATATTTACCAGTTTCTCTCAATTGTCTTGCGCAAGACCCTGGGGCAATGGCTTGCGCAGCCATGATTCTCGATCCACCAGCCGCGCCCTGTAGCAACGTACCTCACGTTCGTGGTGTAGTCTGTCGAGAAGTCATTACGGCGATTGTTCCAGAGATACGCACAGTCTGCCTTCAATTCACCGTCTCTTTATCAGCTGGAAAGAAAATGAGCCCACGTGAAAAATAAACGACGACGCAGCGTCACAACTTGAGCACCGGTAGCGAATAAAATCGCTAAGCATCGCGGCAAAAATGAAATGACACCAGCGAGAAGAAATAAGCTGCTATCGCTTGTATTGTAACGGCGTGTCCCTGAAGATGCACCTTCAGAGCATAGAAAAATTCGAGCCTAAGAGCCCTTGGGTAGTAATGAGATGTTTACCACAACGATCCAAACTGCTTCGCAATGCCCAAATAATACTGACTGGAGAGACACTAACTCGCGCGCATTTTCATAGTAGGCAGATGCATTTGTGGATACTCTGCCGCTCAATTAATAAAGTTTTTCCAGTCATCCATCCATAATGTAAGAAGCTGCCTGCGTCACCTGGAGCAGGGACCAGCCTGCACGGTTTTAGTCAGACGGCGACGTGGCCGAAGCTCATCAAGTAATAAAGGAACTCCCGGCGGGACGCGAAGCCCTATGATCGAGCAGCGACATTGCGTGAGTGAACGTGCAGAAGAGCCGCAGCGACGTGCTTTTAATCGCTGTCCCGAGGCGAGCACGAAACGTTATGATGAATGGAGCGTCGAGGCTTCGCTGATTTGCTTGCATTTTCGCTACCTTTTGTGTCGGTGCGGTTGAAGTGATAGCATCAAGTAATGAAACTGCAAGCGCGTTTACTGCAAAAAGGGGAATAATGCTCTCCCGCTTAGAGTGATCTCTATTAGGTTGACGAGTCTGTGGCCCGCGGGCGTTAAAGAAACTTTGCGAATAGCTCTTTTGTGCAGGCTGGCGTCTCGCAACGCACCTTGTTTGGGTGCTCACGAGACCACTGCCTAAACTAATGCTAAACACTATAGACCCTAGGGAAGCAAACCAGGACAGCCGATTGTATTGCACCTACAGAAAATTATGAAGTTTTGTGCCCATTGCTCCTAGAAAGTAATCAGGCTATCGATTACATCATTTATATAGCATTAACATTGAAGCCTGAAATAGTACATAGCCACGCACCTCAACGTTTATCAGCGAGGTATGCTTTAGCCTATAGGGGAATCTATGCAGCATATGCAGACACAAACCTATGAGCATCTCTCTTCCTCTGTCTATCTTGATGGCTTGTTCACAACCTCCTTAGTTTGAGTATTCGTGGGTGCGTGCAACATCCCTTTTTCGTAGCGGTTGAACAAGCATCGTAAGAAAGAGGAAGGGATGTATTACAGACACAGTGGAAATAGTCGTGAATTGGCATTTATTAAAGCTTTGGAACAAGCCTACACCAGAGTTTCTCAACAACCAATAGCAAAATGAACATCCTCGTAATCCCGCAAACCCGTGTGAGCAAAGCAGTCAATATGCACGTGCGAGGAACTGTTCTTGTAGGCAAAAGGTGCAAAACGCGACTTGATAATGCCTTCACCAAGTGTAGTAAGCGCTTTCGCTAATTAACTATAGGAAATTTATCGTTCTTCGCGTCAGAATTTGTTATGTTATTACCAAGACGGTAGGAACTCTTTTGACTTATTTTGGTCAGCATGAGACTTCCATCAGCGCTCACTAAGGAAGGTCCTGCAGTACCCGTTACTGTTCGCGTCAGCGCCCCGTTTAGTGTAACTAGAGCGTAACGAAGTCAGGGTCGTGCAGATAGTATTCTCGACTTCACGGAGGAAGACAGAAAAAACCACGAAATACGTCATACAAAGGGACATGAGCCACCGATCGTCAACGAGACGAGGAAGGCGTGCGCGGAGCAATGTATACATTGTGCAATGCCACTTCTCCAGAACGGCGAGCTCCGCCTACTGCCCGGGGCGTATTGACTCTGCGTGTTACCCCACCAGCCGCGGCTCGAGTGAGTAGATGTAGCGTTCGCCCCACTCCCGCGGGGTCCCACGGATCCGTGTCTGCAGCGAACCCTTTCCCGACTGTTGTCCGTTGCATGGTCCCAATCTCCCGCACCACCACTACCGCAGTCAGTGACAGGAAAGCGGTGGGCCAGCCTACGCAGGGTACGGGTTCGGGATGAATTGGCTCCCACGACGTACTTCCCTCCGACTCCTCGCGAACCACAGAAATCACATTGCATTGCTCCCTGCGCAAACAGGAAAGCTCTCCTATTATCGAGCCTCATCAAGCTCGGCAGGTCGGTTCGTTGGCTTATAGCTAGCTTGCTTGCGAACCGCGAGCGCGTTTCGGTCCTTGCAGCGTTTCTCACCACAGACGGCCCTTCTTCGTGATTTCCTTCTTTGTCTCCTCCAGCTTTTTACGTATTGTGTGGTTGCTTGTGTGGGACACGCAACGTGTTGTCGGTGGTATCGGAATGACGCCCTTACGCCGCCACTCCAGTGATCTGTGTGCCGTTGCCTACGACGCGCTTGCACTCTGAATATTCGTTTCGTACCACCTCTGTCTCTTTGTTTCTGAATTAACCATATATATGCCCATATATGAAATGAAAAATATTGCAATATATAATTTTTCATCGGCCTGCATTTCATTCTTCTTTGTAGTTTAAGCAATACTATTCTCTATCTACACATTAGAAGGACAGGGAGAAATGAAAATGGAGAGGAAAGGTATAAAGGGTAACCAAGCCTGTGTTAACCGAGGAAAAGTATGAACTGCAAAACTGGATACCTAGTATAAACAGGTAAAACGAGGACGTCTTTGCTTGTCTGTTATTGTTCCTTGGTTAGTGTTCAACTATTAAAAGTAGCCTTGCCTTTAGACCGAATACCTCAGCTGAAAATAATTTTGTGAAAAAGGTTCCACACACTGCAGCTGCTTCGTGTGATCACCAAATCAACAAGATTAGTCCGCCGACGTCTTTCTCTGTCTGTCTGCGTGCAGTGTTTTCAGTTTCACAGTATGAACTTTTCTTGAATATGAACGAAATATGTCAGATCAGTAGGAATTTTCATGAAAAAATTGTCTGAGACTGCACTGATATATGCGGCTTCAAATAAATATTCTGTTTATTTTCTTCTCAGCTGGCTTAGATGGCGTCACTAGCTATGGGTTCAAACTCTACGGCAGCCGTTGCATATATTTATTTTGCTTTCCGCTCTAACAATGGCGAAGCTTAGCAGAACGTGTTGCCGGGTCAGCTAGCGCATATATTCAGAAAACACCTAGACGCCTAAGCAGAAACAAGAAGCATAAGAACGATAACTTCTTTTTTCGTGTTTCGTTTTTCTGGTTGTGCTGTGGCATCCATGTTTCTCTGTCAAAAAAAAAAAACAAACGGTGAAGCCCCTTAGGTTTGGCGACGTGGCCCGATGTCCAAAGTCACGGTTGCATGTTTTGAGGACGGGCATCTCAGGTCATTGTGATTTCCTGCTCTTACCGTTTGCCGAAATTATAAACACGACAAGCTATACAAGGAGCAGTCAAAGAAAATAGTTTCTTGAAAGTTGTTGTTGGGCTAGTTGGTGCGTGTTAAAAGGAAATTAGATGACGCAAACTGTCGAGGAAGAATAGGCAAAAAGAAAAAGCCTATTTTCCCGGTGGCTTGAGTGCTCTAATTTTGTTCAAGTAAAAAAACCTTCTTGCAACGCTTAACCGAAGAACTTGGTAAGCGTTGGTTCTTATAGAGTTGTGCTGCAGTTGTTTTTATGTGCGCACGTGACACGTCGGGTTCGTTCGCGTGATGAAGGCACAAAAGGCTCGAAGTTTAAAGTGAATCATCGTATTAACGATAACAAGCGCATTGTATGAGCGCTTCTCATTTTATGCCCCAGTTGTGGGCACTGTTTCATGCTTATTTTGAACCAGCTTGCCCACCAACAATTAGTGTCGAGAGAGAGAGAGAGAAAGAGAGATAAATAGAGAAAAAAGGCAGGAAGGTTAACCAAGCTTGGCTCGCTTGGCTACCCTACGCTTGGAGTGGGGGAAAAGGAGAATAATAGAACGGAAAGAGACAGAAAAGAAGAGGAGTAAGAAAGAGAAGCATAAATAGTCAGCTCGAGGCTACACAGCACGGCCTCGCACAGTTCTTTCACAAGCGGTCGTGAAGTTTGGTGGTCCTTAAAAAGTACAAGAGGGCTTTCGTGGCTTTGCGCGTAAGGGAAGCCGTCGGCCAAGGTCCCAGAATCTTCTCTTCTGTAATCGGCCGTGAATCCAGCTGACAGAGCTTGGCTTCCATAATACGTCGTTCGGTCTGGTATGCTGGGCAATGACATAGAATGTGCAGGTTGCTTATGCGCTAATTACGATCGCACTAACCCCCTTAGCACAAGGTTAGAAGAAATAGAAGCAAAATTGCAGTAACAAAAACTTTCAATTTCGCAATCACGGCTATCCATGACTATTCCACTAGATGAAAGTCAGGCAGAATTTTGTGTTAAGCTCCGGTTATTTCCACCATCTGGTGTTCTTTAACCTTCACCCAATTAAGTACACCACTCTCTACAATTACGCCTCGATCGAAGTGCGGCAGCAACACCCGGTATTCGAAACCGCCATATTCGGCTGAGTAGAGAGCATCATGCCACAACATGGTGACACATAAGCCTCAGTTCATAGTACGCATTGATTTTTTTTTTGCATACGAGAGAACGTGTCATTTTCTGCACTTCTGCCACTCCCTACACTCCCTGAGACATACGTTTTATGAATCCCCCCTGCAGGTTTAGTTTTGCCATCGCTGGGTTTTGATGAGGAGCCCCCTGAGCGGTACCACTTCCTCAACACACTGGGCGGATCCTTACGGTGCCGGGGACACGGTTCGCCTTCGCCCTCACTCTGGTGGATCCACGCGGACAAACCATCCGGAGCTGGCATCGCTGTGTGTCGTAGCAGCGCAGCTGCACATGACGTGTCGATGGTCTCTTCAGCTCCGCAGTAGTCGCATGTAGGAGTGTCTGCCATACCAATGCGGGAAGGAGTACACCTTTGTAAATGCAACACCAACCAAAGGCGGCATAACAGTGTCGCTTCGGAGCGGGAAAGTTGTGATGGTAGGTTTAGCTTGAGCGAAGGATCCAGGTCATAAAATTGACACTTTTGGAAGCTGGTAGACGACCAGAACGTGCGTGTGAGATCTCGAGCCAGCAGGTAAAGTTGTCTTGCTGCATCATTCCTTGATAGAGGAATCGGGACTACACGGGTTCCTTCATGAGCTGAGCGGGCTGCATCATCGGCTAATTGATTTCCGGTAATACCGATATGTCCAGGCAGCCATTGATGTATAATATCATGCCCTAGTGCTAGAGCTTCATGATGGCAATGTCTTATTTCTTGTACCAATTGGTCATGACTCCTCCTACGTATGGCAGACTGCAAACTCTAAAGCGCTGCCTTCGAATCACAGAATATGACCCATTTTCCTGGACGTTCTTGAACGAGATATTGTAAAGCAGCCCTTATAGCAGCAAGCTCTGATGCGGTAGATGTAGTCATATGCGACAACTTAAACTTGATTGTCATTGCTGCAGCCGGAATTACAGCGGCACCTGATGAGCTGCTAGACGAGACGGACCCATCAGTGTATATCTGCGTTCGGTCTAAGTACAACTCATGTAATAATAGCAGTGTTGCTTGCTTCAATGCTACTCTGGAGTGATTGCTTTTCTTTTTGATTCCCGGAATTTCTAGACGTACTTGCGGCTGGTCGAGGCACCACAAAGGACATGCCATTCTCGCAGCTGGCGTATATCCAGATGGAATGCTGTTTAGGTGCTTGGCTATGACGTCTGAAAACGTAGCACGTGGTCTTCTGGAGGGTAGAAGGGCCAAGTGGTGGTCGGGGACACGGCTAGCATGTCGAATGTGCGTTTTGAGGCAATCCACAACTCTATATGTCCTGACTGGATGGTCTTTGGCAAGCATGGTTGTGGCATAAGTAGAAGCGCATCGGGGCAGTCCTAGGCAGATACGCAGTGCCTGACCCTGCAAACTCTCCAATGACTGAGTATTGGATTTGCAAGTGTTAGTCAGTACCGGCAAGCTGTAGCGCAATAGACCCAGAAATAGGGCCCTGTTCAGCTGTAGCATGGAGGCCACAGAAGTTCCCCATGCTTTCCCGCACATGAATTTTATTATATGCACAATAGATAGCAGTCTCTTCTTCAAGTACGCACAATGCGGGCTCCACGAAAGACTTCTGTCGATTATTATGCCCAGGAAACGATGCGTCCGTGCATATTTGACACTCTGTCCATTGATGTAAACAGGGTATGGCGTCATTGGTTTGCGTGTAAACGCCATCAACGCGCACTTCACAGTTGATATAGTTGGGCCTTGTTTCTGAAGGTAGGCTGTTGTGAGGGTTGCTGCCCGCTGTATTCGTGCACGCACCTGAGGGCGAGTAACTGCAGCACTCCAGAGGCAAATATCATCGGCGTATATGGATAGGCACACCGACTTTGGCAGAACCTTCACCAGACCAATGAGGGCAACATTGAACAATGTGGGGCTTAAAACACCTCCCTGAGGTACTCCGCAGTAGGTGTAATGTTCAGCAGTTGTACCCTCATATGTTTGCACAAAGAAACACCTGCCAGTTATATAATCTTTTATCCATGGAAACATTCGTCCACCAATGCCCATTGCTGCGAGATGAGTGAGGATGGAATCGTGAGCTACATTATCATATGCACCCTTCACGTCAAGAAAGAGTGCCACTGATATGCGCTTGCGACTTTTTCTTGTTGTACAAATGTCGATAAGTCAAGCACACTGTCGATGGAGGAGCGGCCCCGATGAAAGCCTGCCATGCAAGAAGTGTATTTAGTGTATCGTTCCAAGTACCACTCGAGACGAAATAGAACCATTCTTTCCATCACTTTTCCGAGGCAGCTTGCGAGGGCAATAGGGCGATACGCTGTCAAGTCCAATGATGATTTTCCCGATTTCAAAAGTGGTATTATTCGACTTATTTTCCATTTTCGGGGAACACTGCCGCTAAGCCAGGAGTTGTTGAAGCATGTTAAAAGTTCTTTTCTGGCTTTTTGTCCAAGGTGTCCCAACGCACTATAAGTAATACCATCAGGACCTGGCGATGACATGCGCTTAGAAGCGACTAAAGCACCTTCCAGTTCTTCCATGGCGAATGGAATGTCCATTTCTGGTAATCGCGTCTCAGGAACGATCACGGCGTCGATGCTCTAGTTCATAATATTCCCGGCAACTCTCGTGCAAAATTCTTCAGCCACCTCGAGTTCTGTTTTTCCATGATGGAGTGCTAAAGCTTTAAAAGGGTGCCGTTGTTGTGGAGAGGAGCGAAGACCACGAACTGTTCTCCAGATATATGACAGCGGTTTATGAGGGTCTAGAGATTCGCAGAATGTTTTCCAGCGTTCGCTCTCCAGCTTGTAAATGCCTCGTTGAATCTTTTTCTGGAGCCGCCTTGCTTCCCTCAGATCGTAAATTGATTTTGTGCGTCTGTATCGTCGTTCAGCACGCCTTCGTATAGCTCGTAATCTTTCCAGTTCGATGTCAAACTGTGTTATTTTAGACGAAAATGGTAATTTACATTTGGACACTTGCATAGCTTCCGCTATGGTATTTTCCAGGCTGCAGGCGAGGCCTTCTTGGCAAGCGTCCTCAACACGCGATGTAAACATCGACCAGTCAGTGCCAATTACAACACCGGAAGAGAAATTTTTTATGATACCATCGATCGTCACGTAGGTGGGTATGTGATCACTCCCATGAGTCTCAATATCGCAAAACCATTTAACTTTGTGAGAGAAGCACCGTGACACCAATGTCAGGTCAAGGCAACTGCCATACGTGAGACCCCGCAGATACGTGGGGGTACCATCGTTCATGATGGAAAGGTCGTAATCGGAAGCGAATGTAACAATGTTCCGGCCCCTGGCATTCATTCTAGTGCTCCCCCAAAGCATGTGATGGGCGTTGAAGTCACCGGTGATGATCCAAGGCCCATCGGTACTCATTAGGATGTCTTTTAATCTGTCGCAGTCAAATCGCGATGACGGAGATATATATCCACCAATAAGCGTGAACGAAACTGCATTCTTCTTTACATGAAGACACACGTACTGATTGTCGTCATTTGAACTTATTGGGTGCGAAAGATAAGTCAAGTTTGTGCGAATGTAAACAATTACTTTGCTTCGTTCTTCGCAAACGGCTGAAAAAAAAAAGCTTCATAACCGGACAATATGTAAGGCGTTGATACGTTTGGTTCACATATGACAAGTATAGGGAATTGATTGGCCCGGACAAATTGGCGAAAGTCCGAGATACGGGACTTCATGTCTCTGGCATTCCACTGAAAAATCGACGCACTTTTAACTTCAGTGCGGAAGATGAGATTTTGTTGAGCCATTGTGCCTATACGAAGTTAGCAAGAACTGGATTCAGTGCATCCAGTATTTGCAGTGCACTCTTAGCAGACGGAGATTGTATGCTGCTCAGTAGCGTGCGAATCGTGGCAATTAATGATTGCACGATTGCAGTCACTTGCCTGTCTTGGTTGGAAAGATCTCGAGCCGGGATCGCGGACTGGCCGTCATGAAACTCCTTCGGTTCGCTTGATGCTGCTTCCCTTTGAAGTGCAGGCCACTCTGTCGCAGTTAGGGTATGCTGACTGGCTTTGTCCTTTACAGCCTTTCATAATCTCATCTCATCAGTGTCGAGATGTGCAGGTTGCTTATGTGCTAATTACACGTCACACTAAGCCCCTTAGCACAAGGATAGAAGAAATAGAAGCAAAATTGCAGTAATGAAAACTTTCGATTTCGCAATCGCGGCTATCCATGACTATTCCACTAGATGAAAGTCAGGCAAGATTTTGTGTTAAGCTCCGGTTATTTCCACCATCTGGTGTTGTTTAACCTTCACCCAAGTAAGTACACCACTCTCTACAATTACGCCTCGATTGAAGTGTGGCAGCAACACCCAGTATTCGAAACCGCCATACTTGGCTGAGTAGAGAGCTTCATGCCACAACATGGTGACACATAAGCCTCAGTTCACAGTACGCATTGTTGTTGTTTTTTTTGCATACGAGAGAATGTGTCATTTTCTGCACTTCTGCCACTCCCTACACTTCCTGAGACATACGTTTTATGAATCCCCCCTGCAGGTTTAGTTTTGCCATCCCTGGGTTTTGATGAGGAGCCCCCTGAGCGGTACCACTTCCTCAACACACTGGGCGGATCCTTACGGTGCCGGGGACACGGTTCGCCTTCGCCCTCACTCTGGTGGATCCACGCGGACGACCTGAACGGCTCTTCCTCATCGGCGTCGTGGGCGGGCAGCGTCGGCATCATGATGTCCACTCCGGCGGCGCTGTCCGAAGTGCCCGGCCTGCGGCACACGAGCGCCGACGGATCGACGCTCCTCTTCCCAGCTTTCGGGGCCTCGGAGTTCCGCGCTCACGTCCATTCGACATCGTACCGCTGCGTACTCAGCAACGCACTCGGAAAGATGGCTAGCCGCACCGTCAGGGTACGAGCAGGTGAGTTAAAAAAAACTTACGTGCCACACACACACTAGTTGGTCTAGAACCATTGAAATTCTTCAGCTCTCCAAAGTTGTAGTACTGTGACTTCAGCTGAACATCCCTCAAAAATTGTTCGCATGGGTCATCCTCAAGTTGCAGGTGTGTTTTAAAGACATAGCGTTCACTTGTTTATTTTGGTTTCAACTGCAGTATTCTAAATTTCGGCACAATAAAATATAGTCTTCGCGTTGCTCATTCGTCAGTTGAAAGATGCTAAAACATCCATTGCTTATTGAACTGCAACGTGAAGGAAGATTGCTGCTCTCTGGGCCTTTGTACGTTCCCGAGTCGTTTTCACGGTTTGAAGCGTTGTATCCACAATAAAAAAATAATCACAGCATATTCACGAAGTGAATGATGACTTTGCACTATCATCTAGTCTTTCATCTAGTATGCACTATCATCTAGTATGCACTATCATCTAGTATCGATAGATCGATAGATAGACAGACAGACAGATAGACAGACAGACAGACAGATCGACAGACAGATCGACAGACAGATAGATCGGCAGACAGACAGATCGACAGACAGACAGATCGACAGACAGACAGATCGGCAGACAGACAGATCGACAGATAGACAGATAGACAGACAGACAGATCGGCAGATAGACAGATAGACAGATCGACAGATAGACAGATCGACAGATCGACAGATACACAATACATGACAATACATGAAGCAATACATGACATTCATGAAGCAAATGTCATGATTTTCATGTCATGACTAGTCACTTAAGCTCGTGATGCAGTCAAGGTGTGCCATACTAATTTTTGTATTGATAGCAGTATCGAAACGGCCAGGAGGGCTAAAAGTTGTAAACGGCTAGATAGATAGATGAATAGATAGATAGATGAACAGACAGACAGACAGACAGACAGACAGACAGACAGACAGACAGACAGACAGACAGACAGACAGACAGACAGACAGACAGACAGACAGACAGACAGACAGACAGATAGATAGATAGATAGATAGATAGATAGATAGATAGATAGATAGATAGATAGATAGATAGATAGATAGATAGATAGATAGATAGATAGATAGATATTTTACAAAGGCACTCTGGTAATCACGGCTAAATCAAGCAGTTGCCATCCTGCGAACATTTCGCGTCGCGAAAGTGGAGTACGGCTTCCGACGCAAATGCTCAAGATTACGCGGCCAGCGGATGGTGTTGGACACTGTTTACTGGGGTTGACCCACGATCCGATAATCTAGATTATCCCACGCCTGGAAAACTTCGTGTTCTTAAGTGGTTCCACGTAGGTCTAATTAGCAGACTTACACCAGAGGCAGCTTATTTTGTGTACTGCAGTTTCTTCAGCGAGAAGCTTAGGGCATTTCGATTTCACTCTACGTGTTAAGCAGTAACGTGACAACCAACCAACGCAGAGCTTAACGGGCGCTTGGAGTATCTTTTTCTTTTCGTTTCCTCAGATAAGTGAGCAAATAATGAACTACGTAGGAACACTCTTGTTAAGTCGATGTATATTTTTTTTGTATCCACGGAAAGCAAGCTATATATAAGTTAACCTATATTAAACACAAAGCTTTTTTTTCATTTTACTATAAAAGATGATTCAGTAGCACACTTTGTAGCATAAACGGTTCGCATGGGTGCCTGTCTGGTAAAAACGAAACAGTCTGCTTTTCTTTCTCTTTGGTTCTATTCGGTCATAATGAGTAGATACAGAAACGCTTATGCTCCGTGATGTGTCGCTCAGTGAGTGGTGCTGCGGCTTGGATTCATGTTCTCAATTCTTGATGCCTTCTACGTAAAACAGGTTTCTTCCGCACATTTCGTTTTCAAAATCTGGCATTTCTTGCTTCAGAAAGAGAAGGTACCTTCTGTTTGCAATTTCTTGGAAAAGCCGCGTCACGTTACTCAACAAATGTACTTTATTTTTATGCAAAGCAATCTCAGGGGGCCTAAAGGGATCGTTAGCTCAAAAACTTATGGCCGAGACGAAAACTATAACACAAAATAAGGCGCACAGTGTAAGGTCCGGACTTGCGAGAAAGGATTTGAAAAAGTCGTTTCCCCAAAAAGTGTACGTGATGGCCTTCTTGTTCGCATAAGTGGCCGGCCAGCAAAAGCTGTGTGGCGTGTTCACATTGCGTCACCAGAAAGACATGTTTAAGAGTGGCGCCACCAGGAAAAACTGTTCGAGTGGCTGTGTAGTAGGAACTTGTTAGATGTGAGCAAACAAAGGTACAACTGCCCACAGATCACCAGTTGTATGGTATGCCATCTGCACCAAGAGCTGATTGCAATTGGCCTGCTAGTTCGGCCAATATGTTTGGCCTACTTACATAGATGAGATTGGCCTAACTTACGTTTGGCCAGTCATTTTCCATCAGAGGCCATGACTTGCCGTGGGGAAAACGCGGAGAAACAACTGGGCTGTTAGTAGCTAGCACCCAGCTCGTTACGATCGTTCTTGTCGTAGAAGCGGTGCTCTACACTTTTGTCTCTCGAGCTTTGTCGGCTGTAAAGAACTGCCTGTGAAGACGTGCATATATGTGTGTGTAACGTCTCGCTCTTTGTGGCAAGAAAAGCAAACGTATTTCAGGCTTGTGAAATTAAGCAACACTTCTCCCCCCCTCCTTCATTTGTAAACAGAAAAATGCGCATTAACTTTGCTTGCGCCCCTATTCTGCCTCCGACCCTACAGTACAAATAAGATAAGACGCGCGCATTGAAATAGGTCTCATAATAACGTTTGGGAGTTTTTTTTCTTGAAGTCATAATATGACGTGTGCTAATTTCAGGCTTTTCACAAACATATGTTTCTACTGTGTGCGAACATACATCACTAACGGCTTGCAATCCGGATTGTAGTCACACACCGCTAAACTAAACAAAAAAGAAAGGCGATGACGAACAACAGGCCTATGCAGTAAAACGGAAGCCGAAAAAGCTGTTACGAGGGTATTAATGTTTGCTGCCGAGTCAGCCCCTTCATAGTAGAACGGGTTCTATCACGCCATCTTTATGGGCACTTATCTGTGCGTCTTCGGCATGCTCATTACCGCTGATGCTGCATTGACCTGGTAACCACTGAAAAGCTACGTCATGGTTTTTGTTCATTAGTTGATGGTACAGTTGCGATATTTCCAGCGTCAATTGGTCATGAGGCACAAAACAGATAACTTTGAAAACAGTGCAGAACTTGTTTCGAATCAGCGCATATGTTACATTTTATTGGTACTTCTCGATCGATCGAGCGGAGTGTGCTGCGTTGTGCCGCGAGCTCTGCGGCTGTGGATGTCGTCTTGTGTCACGTTCCTAACTGAATGTTTCTGGCTTTTGGTGGGGAACACCAGAGCTCTAAGAGGTACACCATTCGTCGAGCCATCTGTGTAAAGTTTAACGTGGTCTTTGTATTCTTCGTGAAGCATGAAATGTCAGATGCTTCAACGGTGCCGAGACCTCAGCCTTCTTGGGAATTCTTGGTACTGTCGAGCACAGTGTTGGCCACTCCAGTCACCAAAGAGGGGCAGGGGGGGGCGGGGGCATCTTCTTCATTGATTGAATTAAACTATGTTCTAAATCGGAAAGCATCCAGTGCTATATGAAAGATGCCATGGTATGTGTTTCTGGAATACCGTTGCCACAGTTTTCATTATTCTGCGCTCAAAGCTCACCATACTGCAACATTTGTTAAAAATTCTTCGTTATTCGAACGTCACTTACCTGATCCGAATTAAAAACCGGTAACATTGCAATTGGTAGAACAGCGTTGCTTGTCCTCAACCAATATGCTGCAGAAATTTTGCAGTTTAGCATTCGCCTTATGACCACCCGCTCACCAAAAGCGAAATTATACGGCACCATCCTACACATACTTCAACGCAAGGGCGTTGCTGTATTTTGGTACGGAAGCGCCATACTACAAGACACATTAGAGCTGTGTGTGGTAATTGTGTTCTGCTGACTAGTTGGTCATTACCGTAAGCATAATGACTTCGTGATTGTTTTTCAAGAGTCTTCCGTCATAATTTTTCATTTTGTCATAACCTGTCTTCTCTTCCAATGTACGTGCGTGGCGGTTAAGTCAAGGTCTCTGTTTTACCGCCATGCCATCCTCACCCCTCTATATTTCTTGTTTTGAAGCTATGTTATTTTATCCACGAATCAGGAACTATACGCCCCAACGCTCAGATCTATGTTTCTTTCTCTGTCGTGCTCAACATTTTGACACAAGTATTTATAATCTGACGTGCTCCATTCCGCTAAGTTACACGCAAACGTGCAGACAACTGTAGCAGTCGTGAAAGCAAGCAAGTTCTCAGATAAACCATTTAAATGCTTCCTCCTACCATTATTTCTTTTCGATTTATTACAGCAACCTTCTGTTTTTTATGATTTTTCAATGGTGGTCTTTATAGAAGGAGTCACGTAGAATAGTCGTGCACCATGGAGTACGCGAAAACTTTGCTGTTTTCACTTGCTAGTGAGCACATATATCGCTGTAAGCTCCCACTTAAAATCAGCGTCGCAACGCCAAACTTTTACGTATTATTGCCTCGCATTCTCTTCTGTTTGTCACTGACCAGAAGGAGTTTTTTACACGTGCCGCTATACAGGTCACGTACGACACAAACGACTATTTTGTATATTACACTTTGTATCGCTTATTCAACACAACACAGGTGTTACGGAGTTTCCAACCTGCTAATTACGCAATGTTTCAAACTTACTTTTCTTTCTGCCTTTTCCTATACTTTATGCGCGCGTACCCATAATGAGCTTCACTCAACATAGGGTAGAGCGTGTTTCTCCTATATATACTGTGGTTCCCTTTGAGAACTTTCGCTACGTGTTTCCTTTCGTGTTCACCTTTTCTTCCTTTTCTTGCTTTCTTTACTGAGTGATTCTCCTCTACCACACCACTTCGCGCCGCATCCGCTCATTGAATATTCCGCACAAATCACCA